TTCAATGAAATATAGTAGTTTTTGATTAAAAATACAAATTTGTTTTTTTTTAACTGCCGTCGATGAGTATGTTTTTAAATATCTCATTTTAAGCTTATATATGTAAACAAATTCAAAATATCGACGTAAGGTCGACGGCACTTAATATCTTGAAAATTATGAAGTATAACTGTATATATCATGCTGTTATGGAGTTAAAAATGTTTTCTCTGTCACTCAGTTAAAGTTTTGAGAGTTTATTAACGGATATCATTGCAAATACAAAATATATATGAAATATAGGAGATATACAGTTTTATTTTAAGTCATTTCCATTTTTCTCGTATTTCAAACGAATTTCCTTACCATGCGGAGTCGCTTTTCCCGGAAACTTGTTGTTTTTTATCAATGTTTTTGTTTTGATTTCTTTATTTTGAAAATTTTGTATGTTTATATTGTTTGTTTATATTGTAGCTGAACCTTTATATTTTTTTACACTAACTTTAAGAATCTTATTTCAAAACTTTTTCTATTTTTCGAAATATTTAAGTGCTTTTATGAAGGAAATATTATTGCTATATAGTAAACTAGACAACCTATTAGAAGTCTAATATACTACTAGTGTACTTGACTTCTAATATGCGTTCAGATTAGTACTGCCAGTATTACTAGCAGTATTAATCTTTACGGTACAGGTATTATAGTTTAGGCAGGAATAACTATAAAGAGTTTTTGACTGTTAACAGTCTTAAACTCTATAAAGTTGTTCCTGCCTAAACTATAACGCCTGTATCATACAGAATAATACTATCTATAACTAATGTCTAATAACTAATAATTACTAGTAATATAAAAGTGTCTTATAAATAGTTATTAGACACATTAGTATAGTAATTAGATCTATATATTATAAGATAGTTATTATTACTTATTTAACAGTTGACAAGATAGTTTTGTTTGCCATATTGTAGTGGATAAAACACTCTTATATTTGTGATCTACAATGGTTTAGTTAGGAGAATGCATGACTACTGGTATAGAATAGAATACAAGATAGAAAACAAGACTAAATAGAAAGCAAGACTAACTAGGAAATAGGAAATAACGCATTCACCTTCCTTTATTAAATTAAGAAACTATGATTGTATCAAGTTAACTATATTTTATGGTAGGCAAGTTGGCATACCTGCAAGACTTACAAGTAAAGAACATAAAAATGCCTTGAACAATATATGATTAAATGAACAAAGAATAAAAAATGCATTATCTGAAAATCAATTAGAATGTAGAATGAAGATTAATTATCAGTCTGGAAGTGGGTTTAGTTGTTCCTCTCCTGTCTAATTCCTAGAGATACAATTAAAAAAAAGTTGTTAGGTTTGGCTGATATTAGTAGTCAGATTGGAGTTTCAGCAAAAACGCTATTTATTCTAGAACACGATTTTTACAAAAATTCTGTTTTGAATAAAATATTCTAAAAATATAATAAGGCAACTTAACGTGATCTTGTACAAATAATTGCCATCGCCTTGCTACACTAATAGCTGATTAAACGGTTTCGGATGCTGAAATGACTATCAAACTTCAGCAGCTTACTATCTTTTTTATAGGGAAAGTGTCTTGGAGCTTTTTATCAAAACTCCTGTATATATATAAAGATATTTTGATTTGTTTGAATAGTTTTTAAAGTAGCTATTTTTATTTTTTTAATGATTGATTTTTGCAAGAAATATTGTTATGAGAAAAACAAAAGAACACAATAAAATTTACTGAAGTTTTTTTAACAAGATGTAAAGCAAGACTTTTAAAAGCAATTAAAGTTAAGAGTAGCACTGCAAGCAGTTTAAATGAATTAGGTATATATCTTATTTACTATTTAATTTATTTTGGCATGTTTTTATATGTTATAAATAAAACAAATAAATTTAAAAAACAAATAAAATTTTATTTGTATATCAAGTTATTTTTTATATGACTATTTTTAATTGATAATTAAATAACTTTTATCAATATTCTGTACTCAAGTTTAAAAAAAATACAAATGAAAACTTTTTCTACTGAATATGAAAGCAGTTCAAGCAAATTGTAGTTCCATTTTCAAACTAATGATTATCAAATAAATAAAACTGAAAAAAGTTCTGTCTTAGTCTCAAGTTTTATAGCAAAGTATACACTAGATAATCTGACTCTATTTATATATTACAACTTTTTTTTTTTATTTTGAAGATTTTTTTTAAATGTTAATGATCACATTAGACTATGAAAAAAAAATTGTTATTTAAGGTTATATTACTTTAGAGATTAAATTGAAAGTTTTTTTCAATAGCAGCTAAAATGGTGGTGCAAAGTGGGCTGTGCCTTCAATACAAGAGTAGAAAAAAATAGCCTACATAATAATCAAATAGCTTATTTATTTTATTTTACCTTATTAAACTTAAATTGGCTCCTCCACTTCAAATATAGTTCCTCTAATATAGTGAATAATACTTATATATGCACTGTAAGCAAATACTTAAATAGT